GACAGAGCTCTCAAGCGTGCGCTAGACTTTAGGAGCTCCCTTCGGAATTGTTTTTTTGCATCATTATTAATAGACTATGATGGAAAAGCTTGGAAGATAGTTCACAGTTAAAAATTATACTACTAAAGACAGTTACTGTATCACAGTGGTTTTGTAAAAGTACTGTAAAGGTGGTGTGGGAAACTGCCCTAGTTCTCAGATCCTGTAAATTTCACACATTTAAATCAGCCGCATTGACGATACACATGAGAACCAATAAATGATTATGTTGAGCGCAAGACAAATAACACACAGTAGCCGAATCTGCAATCTAGCTTTGACATTTTCTTGTTAGATCGCAATTTCTGTCATTGTTGACCTTGCTGTGAACCCATAAACTTTCAAACTCTTCGGTCTCCTGTCCATCAGCGGGACAAGATGGGAAACAAACACTCTAATCTACACTCCTTATAACACCTCTCCATCTCACCTTTACTTCTTTCACACCATCTAAATTTGAACCTTTCTCTCCTCCCAGTTTCTTCACACCCTCTATATGTTACCTTTCTCTCCTCCCTTTTCTCACCTGGCATCTGTCACTCCCTCTCTGCCTCCCTCACAATCTCTCCATCTCTCCCCCACCCCATCTTTTTGGAACTGTAGGCCGCCGTTGGGATTTGGAGGAAATTGAATTGAATTATGAAGGAATTTCTCTGCAGTTCGATTGGCATCATTTCCCCCCTCACAATAGAACATCATTCTCATATATCTTCGTGTGAGAGAATGAAAATAGGCCGGGGCGCCATTCTCTCTCTCATCCTTTTAAATGGAATTTTTCATATCAGAGGGCACCCGAGACATCTGCCGATTATTTTAAGGCTGGGGAGAAAAACCCATTTCATAACATATGAGAGGTATATACCTGCGATTTCCAATGTGAAAAATCTGACTTCCTGCGAGAGAGAAGAGTACGGATCCGTCACATCATAACATAAAATAATAACACAAGTCTCTTTTACAACATTAGAAGGTGGGGCTGTGTCAGTGTGTCACGTTTTCTGAATATTACCATTTAAACTGGGTGGATCAAACAGCCGTTTTTCCGCAATAAGTCCTTTATCCTGAGGGTTGCACTTGGTCGGCCCCACTGCAAGTGTTTGCATTCAGAGGTGGGTAAACACTTGGGCTCTGAGTCCTAAATTGCATTTCATTTGTGCTGTGTTCTGAAAGTCCTTGTTTTAAAAATATTGAATGACAGTGGGAGAGGCAGTTGGAATATTAAGCTGCAACGAGGAGGTGCAAGGGAAAGGAGAGAGGCACAGAAAAGCACTTGAGAAATTAATCCTCAGTATCCACTCCCAAGTGGACACCTTTTTCCTTCTTAAACCTCCATTTCAGAGTTAATATCTCAGTCCCTAAAGCTCCTGGCTGGAAGGCATGCATGGAGCTCAGCCTCAAATTGCTTTAAGGACCTGATATATAATGGGATTGTGGGGAGAGATGACAAAGCTCTCAAGCATGTGCCAGACTTCAGGAGCTCCCTTCGGAATTGTTTTTTTGCATCACTATTAATAGACTATGATGGAATAGCTTGGAGGATAGTTCACTGTTAAAAATTATACTACTAAAGACAGTTACTGTATTACAGTGGTTTTCAAAGCGTATTGTAGAAGTACTGTAAAGGTGGTGTGGGAGACTGCCCTAGTTCTCAAATCCTGTACGTTTCACACATTTAAATCTGCCGCATTGACGATACACATGAGAACCAATGAAAAGTGAGCAGTTTCTCTTATGGTGTTGCTATGCTTATGTAAACAAAGATGTTCTAGCATGTATCATTAACTCTATAAAGCCTACTGTATCTGAATACTAAAGTTCATTTAGATTAACAACACATTTTTTTTTTTTTAACAAATCTGAAACTAAGTGCAGTCTAACAAAATGTCTAGTTAGACTTTTTCTTGGCTTTTTCTTATTTGTTACTATTTTTGGATAAAATATTTGCTAAATAAATATGTAAAAAAACATGTAAATTACATGTTTTCCCCCCTACATTTTTTAAGGCAGATAGTAGCACCACTACTGTAGCTAGACAGTCTTTTTTCTGTATATATCCCCTACCTTCTTATTTAAAAGAGATGACTAACCACACTCTGAATTTCCTCAACATATAAAATAAGGGAGACTATATTAAAACATAATATTTAATTAGAAGCCGGAGAGCTCTTTCATCTGCTGTTCGGAGCGCTCTGCCATGGCCACGGAACTAGGACAAAATTATTTTATTGATCCATTTGAGTGAACCCTTGGTTTGGCAGCTGCCTAAGTGTGTTCAACCAGACGTAAAAATTACTCTTAGATTTTTTTACATTTTTTATCTGCAGCAAGGCCGGCTCACTCATGTGTTTTCTCCCTTCGCTTCTGAAATCAGAAGGACGTCTTGTCTGGAGTTCTGTTTGCAAATATCAAAGGAATTCAAAGCCTTTTAAAGACCCCAAGAAAATGATGGAATAGATAATTCTGCTCACATCTCATCCTCCGCCCACTTTAGCCAGTGGGTGAAACAACATGCCGTAGAGCTGCTGAATTCAAAGCTCTGTCCTCTTAATGAATTAAAAGGTGATTACAGATGGGTGAGTATAGCTCTGGCTACAGCTGGGCATTGCAAGTGAACTGAGGGAGGGAGAGAGAGAGAGAGTGAGAGGTTAGTCTTTAAAGGAAAAAAAAAACGAGCCGGATAAAAACCACTGCCGTAAGCCAGAAACAAACTATCTTGTGAAGCCTGGTAATCAGAAAGCATTGATCCGACATTTCCAATTAAGTGAGGACGCATGTCAAGTTGAGGAGTTTGTGATTACGCATTCATGCGTGTGCGTGCAAGGCAAAGTGTTTGTCTGTGCTTAGTGTGGTGTGATAATGGCTTGAAAGTCAAGGCATTTGCTCGCTCCCCCTTCTCCCTCTCTTCTGTTTCTGTGCATTATCTGAATTCAAACTAAAACAAGCGAACTAAAGTTCTACACTGTACCCTGCAATGAATGGAGTCAGTTTGTGGCAGCAGTTAATGTATACAAGAGCAGACACATACAGAATGTGCGACCATGAATAAAGAAATAAATAAATAAATTCCGATTTCCACAGAATTCAAATAGCCATCAAAATTCTACCTATCCACCTTTTTCCTGAATGCGACTTTACATTTCCGGTCTCTGGTGTTTCTATTCAAATTAACATATTTTCCAAGCTGATAATATAACGTTAAACCTATGAATTTTTTTTTTTTAAGTACATAGTGCCATAGTTTCATCACTTTACAGTCTCAAAATGTCCGTATTTTTGCAGTAACTCATCTGTCATAGTTTAATGAGTGGGTAGATGACATGAAGCGGCTGAAGTTTAGCTGCATTGAAAACACATGAGTGCACATAGCCTACATACAGCTCCCGAACCGGGCTGAAGTTTGGGGAATTTTTTCCACAAAATGATAAGAGTACACATTATTTTATTACTTCACACACAGTATTTTAACTTAAGCGCCGCAAGTCATGATCGTTTTCTTTTGTCATCATTTATGCAAGGCATACAGTGCCAGACACGGACATATTTGCTGGTACGCAAACCACTACTTTACAGGAATTCCTCAAGCTCATTGTTGTTACTGTGGCAGCCAGCAACAGCACAGCTTAACCCTGTGCACATTTTTATATTTAGTTATATTGAAAAAAGTTTCAGTTTAATTTATTCAGTCAATCTTTTTACCCCATTTTAAAATGGATTTCTATGGAAACTGGAACACGAGAACTTCAACGGAAGTTAGAATCTATCATGGCAGCGCTCATCAGTTACTCAGGAAAAGATGGATAGATAACTACAATCAGGTTCTGAAAGTCATTCATTTTCTCCTAGGGAAATGTATTTTTAATGCTAACTTAAAAATAGTATACATCGATGGTATATGCTTTTGGTGAAGCCATTTGTTTGCATTATTTCAACTTTTTTTAAAGGGGATGTCTAATGCTATTTCATGCATTCTGACTTATTTACACTGTTAAAGAGTTGGATTCTCATGCTAAACATGACCAAAGTCTCAGAAAAAGAGTTGGACACATGACGGAGCATTGCTGTGCCAAATACACTCCTTCAGGGTTAATATATATATATATATGTTTTGGAGAGTTGATGTATGATGTATGATGTCATAAAGAGCAGAATTCCTTTTATGGGCACTTCTCTAGGAAGAGCGTGCACACACATCAACCAGAGCTAGAGCAAGAGCAGCCCATCAGTGTGCTTTATTCAGGTTACGGAAGTCGTCGGCAGCGCTGCACAGGACTTGTTCGCAAAGGATTTTACATTTTGTTTTTGACCACAAAATCTCCAATGTCACCAAAGGACTGTGTTTTTGGTTGTGAGGGAAAGATAACCTTGTTCAGCTTCCCAAAGAACCCAGCGTTAAGGGAATTATTTATGTCGATGTCACAGCTTGCAGACGATCGCTATGCAAAAGCATTGCATGTTTGTGACTCTTTAGCTCCGCCCACGGCACGCCTCCAGGAGATCGACTGTTTTCAGAGAGAAGCGTAACGCTGTATCTGTCTTTTATACATCTGATAGAACTAAAGACTCTTCAGAGATATGAAGGATGCAATACTACTCTATAGGTACTCAAGATTAACATGAGATTAGCAGAAACTGTGTTATGTCCCCTTTAAAAAATAATTACTATTAACAGTTGTTAATAGTAATAGTCTTCATGGTGAAGAACTACATTACCCATTATGTTGTACAGAAAATTCCACCAATCAGAGTCGTAGCAAGCAAATCACACCAAAGAATTTCTATAAATATATTCAACAACTTCAAATAAATATTTTCTCCATTGTTTTTAATTCCATTATGTTGTTTACAGTGCTTCATGGACTTGTAGTTCTTTCCCTCACTCAAGTCTTGTACCTTTGTCATTTTGTCCAAATTTCAAATACTTTTTTTTATTACAAATAAAAGTTTGTAATGTTGTGATTTACCTCATAGCTGGTTGGCTTGTAAGGCTTATAAGGCTTTAACAAATACTTTTTAAAAAATCCGTATGGGAAAAAAGTGGGCGCCACTAATTAATCCTATAAAACAGATTCTGTTCTGACTCACTGTCACACCCCTGTGGACTGTTGATTGTAATTTCTCCCTCTGTGTCCTTATTTGGTTGTTCCTGTTCTCATTATTAGTTAATCACCTCATTGTGCTCACCTGTCTGCCCCTCGTTATCGGCCCTATATCAGTTCCTGTCTCTTGTATGCTAGTTGGTCGGTTATTGTGAATGTTACACCGTGTGTGCATGATGTCTACCCTGTCTGGATTTCCTGTTGTCAAGTCATTAAATATCTTTGTATTCGTCATCTTCGTCGTCCTGCCTGATCTCTAGAACACCCTGCCCGTGACACTCACATTCTAACTTTGAATGTGGCTCATCCAATCAGATTTCATTGTATAATATATGCATATCTGTTACCACACAGTTGAGTTCTATATGAAGTTGCGGTTACACTTTAATTTACGGTGTCCTTGTTACTGCATAATTATACATTTTAGTACTGAGCAATATTAATTGACTACATGTAATTATTATACGGTTAGGATTAGGATGAGGGTTTGGTTTAGGGTTAATTGCATGTAATTATGCATACTTTATTGTTATTACTATAGTAAGTACATGTAATGTGTAACAAGGACACAGTACAATAAAGTGTTACAGAAGTTGCTTTAAACAGCTAGGACAACAAACTACATTAACTGGTGAAAGGATAATTTTTAACAAATTCTTCTTTTTAAAAAATAGGGATGCACAATATATCAGTACCATATCAACATCAATTTAAGAGCCAGTATTGGAGATGATATTGAATATTGTGCATTTTTATTTATAGAATTTTAATATTGGCCATTTGTTGGTTATCAGCCATCAGCTTATCATTACCTGGACAGAATTTCAATATCACTGTATCCGTAATTATTAATACATTTCCATCAGGGCCCAAGACAACATGTCTGGTTGTCATCCACTTGCACCTAAGAACACCCATTACCTGTGGTAAAAACCTGCGGCAAAGCTTCTAGTGGCTTATTATATACCTTTTATATACCTAGTCCCTTGTATATTTGTTAATGAAATATAGGGATGCACCGATACTGAGCTCCTGTACTCGTACTCGTACTCATTAAAATGCCCCGATACCAAACGCCGATACCACACAGCATGTGATAAGTGCCATGTCCAGACAAAGAAACACCGACAACAGACAGCAGAATGGAGTTATTAGAGATTAAAGATGTCTACGAAGTATATGTATGCAATGAATATAAAACATTCAGTATTTAATGCCTGTATAGCTGATTTGCGCCAGCTGGTAAGCAAATCATGCTGAGTGGATTGAGTGCGCGAGCTTGTCGAGTGAATATCCCTTTCTCACAGACATCACTGGAAAGTTTGTTGTTCGGTCGGATATATCAAAAAGAAGTAAGTAAAACAATGCACAAGTTACTTAATGGTAGGGAGGGAGGGAGAGAGAGAGAG